TGGTTTTTCGTAGCGTTCAATTAGTCTTGCCACTTGCAATATAACCAAACTCAGGCATGTTCACCTGCAGGCACCGTGTCATGATGCTGAATCGTGTGATCAGCTCGTGTTTCGATTTGGAGGGGGACGTGGCTATTACGCCTGTTTTCATCAACAAATTAAATTTTTAAGCACCGTAAAGACGCTGTACGACGTTTCCAAACAGGAGCTCATAGACGAAAGCTCCTCCACCTCCTCCACTGAGCTCCCATTGACGACGATTATGACCTTGACACAGTCGAGACACCGAATTGATTCCGATGAAGCTGGCAGCTGCTTACTCTTTGAACTTCACAGCAGGTGCTGGTGATTCAACTGTGTGAGACGGTGGAGGCGGCTTTGTGCTTTGGTTTTTGCGCGCGAAATGAGGAAATTGGGAAGTAGGTGTTAGAAAATGTGGGCCTGCTCAGTCGTCCTAAACCAGATGAAAGTGAAATTAAACTCTTTATCTTTATGACTCGTGGAATGCCTTCAAGTGAGAGTAGTGGTGGTCACCTTGTACAGCACTTTTACTCGTCAATGGAAAGCGCGTGGCACCTATAACGCAAACTGTGCCATGACATATCCCCTTCTTATTCTGATGTACAACCGCCAGTGTGTTCTAAAGTCTAAACTCGATTCATGATCATGACAGGGATCCAATTCGTTCAGACTCCCGTCCAAATAGTCTAAAAGCGAACGGATTTACTGGTTAGCCAAGGGCAACATAAGTACGTACGCGGGAATCAGCAATATAGGTACTATACAATTTCACTGCTCTGGTAGGCCTGTAATCTGCATGGTCGCAAATAGGCAGGAAGAGTGGAGTTGCTTCGCACCCGGAGCTTATGCAAATGTATCATACTCGGTAGAAAGTTTTGTGATAAGACGGTCTACCTACCATCACTACCATGTAAAAGAGAAACTAGAACTATGTATTAGGTAACATGCATTCTTTGTTGAATTGTTTCCGAGTGGATTCTATCTATGCAAGTCAAGATAAATGGTTAAGAAAGACTGGTAAAGAGCATCTGCTTTGGTATAGAAAAGCACTTCTTGCATGGGTAAATAAATTGTGTTTCCTGGATACCAAGAACTAGCTGCTTTGGACACATGCTACAGGCTTATACTATAGGGCATAGTGCCGATTCCTCTACTTAGACGTAATTATATTATCAGAAGTTTATATTTAAGTTCCATAACCAACTTTTTCTGATTGGAAATTGATTATAGGCTCGTGGAAGAGAAGTTAGAACATACATAGAATAAATGCATCGCGGCGATTCGTATTTGTTTAATGAAAAGTTACGATAGCCGTAATTTTTGACTACGTCAACGCCGAGTGGCAACTATAGTTGCCAGTCCAGAAATATATGTTAGAAATGTTTTTATTTTTCAATACAGCGTATGTGCATTTCTAGTGCATATAGAAACATAGGACATTTAGAAAAACCGCCGAAATTTGCCCACGGAATTATCGTCGTTAATGAGTTAAGCACATGGGAGTTTTCTATCAACTTGAGCTAGCGAGATGGTAAAGGACCAATTAACTTCAAATGAGTGTCAAATCAAATGATATGCAACATGACCTCCATAGTCCAGCTTCCTGATCTACAAACACGGCTTTGATCTGACCTAGACCAAAAGTCATCATCCTACTTTGACCCATCTAAAAAAAACCATACCGTTCGTCGCGACCCTGAGCATGACCGATGACGAACGTGACAGAGCTAAAATCGTAGCATTGCAACCATTTTTCACGAATGTATTCACTAAAGGCCGAACTGTGATCGTTTGGTCTTTGACATGATCTCAGAGATCACCGGTTGAAACGAGACAACAGGAGTTCACACGAAATTGAATACCTTGCTGCGTCTCCTAGTGTTGTATGTACATGCTCGTTTTTTTTTGTCATCCAAACTCTAACGCAATTAGGAAAGGAAACGGAGTGGGGAGGGCTCTTTCTTCCTCTCGGCCGAGGCGAACGTGTAAAACTGATAGGTCCAGCGAGGGTTAAATAGAACGAGAATAGTATCCAACCATCGGCCGGAGCCTCAGTGTATGGTTTAGTGTAACCCTCGCCCCGTGGGGGGGGGGGGCATTTTGGCCCCCCCTGTGGTTTTTCCTGAATAGCAAGAAAACGGCGGCGCGCAGCGCCGCGAAATTTTCAGTACCTTCCCGGGCATCAATTTGACACCTTCACACAAAATTTCAAGTCTTAGGTCACCTTAGGTCAGGAGTTATTGAGGTCAAACTGAGGTCATGTTCGAGCAAAAATGAGCAAAAAATATGCAATCTTTAAACCCTCACCAAATCTACAGTTATCAAGCAATTTCAAAGTTCTTTATATGATCTAGTAGACAAAAAGCGGCGCTACAAAACTGCTATCTCAGATTTTCAAAATTTTGGGATTTTGACCCCAAAAATTCAAAAAATTGATTTTTTAAATAAAAACTAAAAAAAAATCCAAAATTTTTCCGAATTTCGAAAAACCGGAATAAATGTAATAGTCCCTGCGCTCTTCTATATACATACCAAATTTCAGATCGATATCTCGTTTTTTGGCCAAGTTATAGTGAAAAAACTGTTCAAAAATGATGACGTAAAATTTTTGAACTCAATTTTTAGCAATTCTAGACCACGTACGGCAAAACAAACACCACCATTGAACTCCCCGCGACGAGTTGCATCGATTCGATACCCATTTTATGCAAAAATATTAACTTTGAAATTTGACCTAATTTGACCTGACCTTGACCAGACCATGACCTAACCTTGACCAAAACGTGACCTAAGCTGGCCCCAAAGGCTGCCTGACCCACATAATCGCATTTGTCATGTAAAATGGACCATAAAACATGCATCACACGACACTTTCATACTGTGACCCCCCAGTGACCTGACCTCTGTGACCTGACCTGGTATCAGTGACTTCAAATAGCAAAATATGTGTTTGAAGAACATTTCCCCATCGGTGATTTTCAATGAAATGCATTTTACTCGATTTTACAACGCATTTCTTGAAATGCCTGTAAACGGTGAAAATTAGACCTTTGACCTGACCTGTGACGTCATCGGTTTGACCTAGGTCAATAAAATTGGGTCACAAGGTAGTTCCCTGATAGGGCTATCCAACACCGTTTGCCGCTTGTCGCTAGGTTGCGTGGTTCTCGAGATCTTAGGGGGGGGGGGGGCCAAAATGCCCCCCCCCCAACAGGGCGCGTTGCTCGGCAGAGCCCAACGGGGCGCGGGTTAAGCTTTGAAAGATCAGGGGTAGGTACTGGCGCGCTATTGCTGTGCATCGTGCGTTCGAATTGCACGGAGAGTTACAATTAAACGGTGATACAGACATATTTAACCACCTTCCCAAATCTCTCCATTTCCATCCCAGCCAGCAATTTTACTCCGGGCCCAAGCAGGCTAAAGTGCGGCTTGCCCGAGATTTTAGTCGGGCTAAAGTCGGCTAGGGCTTGGGCTTAAGTCGGCGTATGACACAAAAACGCCCACTAAAGCCCATGCTCCGCCGGAGGTATGCCCGCTCTGCGAGCTCCGGACAGCCGTAGCTTAGCCCTAGTTGTGCGACGATTGGCGGTAGCCCGATGTAAGCCCGAGCAAAACGTGACTGGCGCAGAAATGCGCATGCGTGAACAGCCGATCAAGTATGGCTCAACTCCGGCTTTACTCCAGTTAGCCAAAGGAGACAACCAGCTTGATCAGCCCGCACTCCGCCCAAGTTGAGCCTGCTTTGATTGCGCGGGCGGATGTCGGGCTGAGCTGCAGCTGGCCACACTCGGGCATAGCTGCGGCATGCCCAAGCTCAGCCCAAGTAAAAAATGCATTGGTTTTGATCGAAGTGGGCAAACCCAAGCTAAGCCCAAGCTGCCCGACGTTTGCCATAGTTTAGCCCAAGCGAATTGCTGGCTGGGATGCGCTATTTAAATTGCCCACTGAATCCCATTGAATGCAAGTTCATGGGCGATAATAACTTTATCCATGCTATTATATCATGTATAATACATACGGCACATTTCGATTAAACGGTAATCTAACTCTTCCCAAGGTCCTACTCCTGTTTCTTGAGGTCAATGCCAATGACACACCACCTCTACCTATGATGGTACCGTGGGAACGCTACGCCATTTTACCGGTTAATACGTGAATTCTATTGTGATTCACCGTACACTGGGCCATTGTTCTACAACATGCGGAAACACCCAGTCAGGATTACCTAGACGATCGAAGCTTCTTTGGCCCTACCCGCCTTGGTCGTATAGTCATCACAGGTATGCATATTGATGTGAATGTTTTTTAACATGCAGGTGCATATCCGGCAGTGTTCTATAGAAAATATTGCAAACATGGGCAGATTCCAGCCTCAGAGCCATAAAATAGGTATAGTATTCCACACAGTATGTCACCTCTAGGTACCTACAAACTTTTGCTAGATTTTCGCGTAAAGCCGCAGACGGCAGAGATGTAGTCTGCAGACGTGAATGTACCACGTGACATCAGCTTCATCATTCATGTCATCACCACCGTTCATTTGCATATTTGCAGTTGCCATTGTGTGTAAATAGATGATAAAGACGTTAAAGAGAGATGCAGTCTGCAGTGAGACAGCAGTGTCCTTTTGTCCACCTCTTCCATACAGCTAACAGATGGCCACATAACGTATGCACGTCGTCCACGACCACAGCCGAGACATCAAGCGATGCGAATGATAAACAGGCAGCGTTCAACGGTCCCTACTCACTGTGGTGTGCGCTGCCTATCGCCGTTCTCATTATCCACTTAGCAGAACCGCAGAGATTCAAGTAGGTATCGCACAGATCAGGATCGGAGCTGAACATGCACTCGAAACGTGAGCTCGTGCCCTCGTTTGCTGATGTGATAAGAATAGATACACCAGCCGTTGTTGCTAAGTTTGATGAAACGTTTCAATATAAGCGAGCTGCGACATAGAATACGATAATGGGGCTTACCTAGTGGCGGAATGGAGATGGACTGGAATGTGATGGATTTGCTCCGGCCATCCATGTCTGCTTCTTGCGTGCGGTTCCTCCAAAGGAGGTCAATCCAGGTCAGGTCACATGTGCCTCTGCGCCTGTTGTCGGGTGCTCGCTACCCGCTGGCCGCCACTGCACACGTTCCTCCCTCCCTCCAGCACACACACACACGCTCTCCACACGCCACCCGCCCGCCCGTCCACGGCTGACTGCCCGCCGGCCGCTGCTATCACGGCGCACGGACCGGCGTGCACCGCTCGGCCCGGCCGCGGCGGTACAGCCGACCAGGGGGCGCCACAGTGCCGAGCGACGGACGAGGACACACCACCTGCCCGGCCCGTCTGTGTGAGGTCCGCTCTGCCGCCGCGGAATACAGGAAAACCGACGACGGCGACAACGGGGAGGGGTGCGGAACCAGGGTATTGCGGAACAGGGCGAGAGATTGAGCGAACACTTCTCACCTCTCACGGCTCAGACCAAAAGGAAACCGGCTGCTCCAAAAGGACGGAACAAATCGTTATATGTATTCCTCCGGGGTGATGTGCACACATTGCAAATATCAGTGCAATGTCCTAGGCGTGTAATTCGATCCTTTATACGCACTCGTCTATCGCTACCAGGCTCAAGAAAACGTCTGAAACGCGTTCAGGTTAAACGTCTGTCTACTGTTTCCTGGGGAGTGGCCGCATGGCCGGAAATGTCATCGGCCGCCCATATGTCTGTGCAAATGGCTGTGAAGTGTGAAGTGTGAATCACCTGCCGTTTACTGGGTGCTAGGGTACTGGGTACTGGTACATACACAGGGTCTGCGGCGTAGGTCAATATTGGGTGACCTCTATGGTAGTTACTGTTATTCGATGTACGTTCGGTTTTTTCGGCTACTAGTCGTTTATTTTTTCGTTTCGAATTTTCGACCTTCGCATCGAGGCCGTCGTCAAGAAACATGGCAACAAAACATGGCAAGAAACATGGCAAGTAGTAGCCGAAAAAACGTACACCGTTTCACAATGTCTAGTCGTAAAAGCTTGAAATCATACAAAGTTACTGTTAGTTTGGACGAATCTCATTTTATAGACAGCTTTGGTAAAGCTCGCAACAAATTGCTGAAACATTCACACCCTCGCCGGACCTATTGGTTTTCTACATACGCGCCGGCCGAGGGGGGGGGGGGGGGCGGGTACGACCCCCCCTCGCCGTTTCGCCCCTGGTGAAGCTAGCGCGTCGCGGAAAAAACGAGCGTGTGCGCCGTTACGAGACGCAGAGATTGGTACCCGATTTTAAGGTCCTAGGTCAACCGGTGACCTCTGAGGTCAGGTCAAGTGCCCCAGGGTACGGTTCAGTTTTTGGTGAATAACTTCGCAAAAAACGGCCGCAGAGCCGCGATTTTAGCGGCATCGTGTTCGCCTCGCTCAGGCGCGTCGAATGATATACTTCTTGTCCGTGTCAGGTCAACTTGGGGTGTTGACCTCAGGTCAAGGTCAGGTCAGCACCCCCAGGTCACGAAGTTGGTCGAAAGAGGTCATGTCGCATATCATTCGATTCGGCAGGTCTTCCTGAGTCCATTGGTGGCTTTCTCGACTCGCTAGCTCAATTTGATCAATAGTTATTGACGAAAACCTAATATAACCTTGATGACGTCATAAATGACGTCACGCAAGGTCAACATTGCAAAAGTGACGCATCTAACCTTGCAAGGAGTGCATCAAATCACTATTTTGTGTGCTTGAGATAGTTGGAGATCGTTCCGGCTCCAGAATAGCAGTTTTCATTTTTCCCCATTGACTTATAATGGTGAGGTCACGAAAATGACCTGACCTCATATGACCTTTAGGAAAAATCCGAGATATACAAGTTGTGAGACTCATAATGGATACTAGATCCTGCAAGTTTCATTTCCCCGTGACATCTCCTCTGGCAGTGAGGGCGTTGCGAAGTTGCGACATCTGAAGACCGTGCAGAGGTTCACTTATGACGTCATAGGTCAGTGACCTGACCTGACCCAAAAATGCGGTTGGTGTCAAAAGATGCGGCTTGGATCAAAGGTCAGGTATGCCAAGTTTCAGCTCTCTATCGCCAGCGTGTTCGGAGCTATCGCGAAAAAACCCTATGGGGGGGGGCGGCACCCGCCCCCCCTCGGCCGGCGAGGGTTAAGTCAATGAATAGGTACAAAAAGGAAACACGCGAACACTTTTTTATGCATAAACTGATAAATATTGCATATCGAAAAATAAAATCACTGTCTGCACACAGGTTCTGTATTAGGTACTTTGGCAATATGGTTTACATCAAAATAAGCTGACTAATATTTACGCCACTTACCTGTAGGTATCAATTGTTTCCTTTTCCTGGCTCAAGGTGCCATCGATGGTTTGCGAACCTTCCCACTCATCCCGCCAGTCAAGTGTCGAAGTCATGTTCACATGGCTCCTGTCTGGAGGCAAGCAGAGACTGAATACGAATGCATTGCACGTCGTTATATATACCTAACAGGCTCGTGCGTAGCTCGTTTTTTAGCGTGTAGGTGATCTGTATCTGCGCGGGCAAACACGTGAAGGCTTAGCTTGCACGAAACCGCGAGACGTGGACTTCCTACGTTCCTAGTCAACCGCACTCAAAACACGGACTTTGAACCATTGTCACTTGATCCACACGACACGCGTGTACAATTTATCTCAGAGTTGATTGTCAATTTCGGCACTGGCCGGCCATCTGCCGCACCGGAGATGTTCAATGTCCATCCGTCGTCACCTGAAGACGATACACCACCAGTCGCCAGGTCCGGTTGGACGGGTCGTGAACACAGCCGAGCCTTCATTAACGCTGTGTTTTCGGAGGTCAAAGAATACGGCCACTGTGAACTGGCACAGCCGACAGCCGATGGTTTACACTGTAGGTATCTGTATCGATTCCTCTGGCGCAGCAATATTTTTCACCAGTCTCGCCACTGCCATATGTTCTATTTCACTGAAAACTTTCAAATAAATCGATTTTGATTCAGTATCAGACCCGTTTATGACTGGGTAGGATTTTGTTTGAAAAATAGATAGGTGGGGTATGACTACGATTCCGCTCCGATTCAGATAAAAAGTAGGTATTTGCCGTTCCAGCAGGCCATTATACGAAAGGAACAGTAAAACTAAGAGCCTATATTACACTGTGCCATGAGCGCGATGTTTCAGTGTGTTTTACAAAAGAACCCCTGCGTCTCCAGCTCAGTCCATCATAACGACACGCAGTTGCCCCGTGACCCGCCGCTGGACTGGCATTTCTCGCCCACTCCGGCAGAACACTGACCGGCAACAGGGCGTTTGTCACCGGCACATACTATATGGCTCAGAGTCCGACCTCGGGGCTGGGCTCAGCCGGACGTCGAAGCTCAGCCGGACGTTTGTTTAGTCGGCGCTGATCGGGGACAGAGCGTTGTCGGTCACCAGGCAGCAGCAACATGGACCAGACTGTGATCGTAACATCGCACTGTGTTGACTCGAATAAACTCGATGGGAATTGCAGACAGGCGCAGACGCTTCGAGAATCAAAGGCTCTTTTCGGGTGAACATCGGTCCACAATGTTGTACCACAATCGAATTCATCCCTTTATCCCAGAGAACATACCTACGAGATAAACATTAATCATATACTGTTATACATAGGCACCGTGAACACAAAAACGATCAGCATTCACCTATTCTCTTTTTGTCAAGCGCAACTAAAACCACTGGAGCTATAAAGTGACACCAACCAGCCTGCATATTGTCAGGTAAATCTTCCCTAACGCATCATAAGCCACCGGCATTCCCTAACGCCTTTGACAAATTATACGACGGGTGAAGTTGAACCCAACTATCTGAACTGCTCCCGTGAGGTCTGTGGCATACCCAGGCTGAACCTTGTGTCAGGCAAGTCTGACCTAAATCACTTCCACTGCGTCGCGACCCCGTACCCCCTGTTCCCTCTCCCCGCTGGGGGGGGGGGGGACCAGCCGACTGCGCCGGTATACCGTTCGACCCCTGATTGGGTTATTGGCACATCCGTCTCACTGATAACCGTTGTGAGCGCGCTGCCTCGTGACCGGACGGGCACAGACGGGGTAACGTGTCGGTGATGGAATGGACTCCAACGATCACCTCCCGGAAACGTCCTGCCGATCGGTTGCTTAAATAATATAATACAAAATAAAGCTTAACTAGAGCTAAACAAGCCGTCAGCCTTCAATTATTTCATCCAGCATTTTATCTCTAGCTTGTTTTCCAGGATTGAAGTTCGAACATCATCAACTGTTCACACCCTGTTGGAGTGATCTCTCGTCAAGCCCCCGACGTCATTCAATATTGGATAGAGGTATTTATTGCCATCCTTTTATGTCAGCTCAGGAAGAGCGGTACAATCACGAACACCAGAGCTGTAACACACGCGAATGTAGCTTTTTCGTCAATGATCGGTTATTGCTGCCTCGCTTCTTGATCAAAGGGCAAGGGAGACTGTCGACTACGTCAATAAGGGTTTGAATGCAGCAGTGAACTAAAATAGCCAAAACAGCCAACAGACGACGGAGCATACTGGAAGACCGCCATTCGTCAACGCTGTGGCAGCCGGCACTCGGCAACAGCCTGATCACGTGTGCGACGAGTGCCATCGGTAGCTATTGTAGAGAGTTATGTACCGGTCACAGGCGGTCGTCTATTCACTGCATGAACGGCGGGCCGCGACATGTCATCGGCAGCTGTCCATCGCAGACCGAACAGAGGCCATTTAGCGGGGTCGGCGCCCCACATTGACATACGGGTCGATAGTCTGTCCCAAACAGACACACCCCACATCATCTTGGGGTACGGTCAGAGCGACAGGTCCGTACCAACATTGTCTGGCAGCAGATTTGTGCCTCGACCAAAAATCAAGATCCAAGATTCGCAAGATCCCACACAATTTCCGAATTTCAGGATCCAAGATCCCCAAGATCCCACACAAAATCAAACTACAAGATCCAAGATCCCCAGGATCCCACGCAAAATCAAAATTTCAAGGTCCAAGATCCACAAGATCCCACGCAAGATCAGACTACCAGGATCCAAGATCCCCAAGATCCCACGCAATATCAAAATTGTAGGATCCAAGATCCCCACCCCAAGATCCAACGCACAATCATAATTTTAGGATGATTTATCTGTTATTTTCTACTGCAGACTGCAACTGACGTCAGTTCTAGCCCTGGAGAAGCACTAAATGAACATGTGCATGCTATAATATAGTGATGTAAATTTCAGATTTTTTTTATGTACATGTTTGTGATGTAAATTTAAGAAATTTTCAAAATCAATGCCAAACTGAT